GCCACATGTAGACTCCTCCGTAGCCCACTGTTCCCACACGGATGCCGTCAACACTGAGAATATCTGAAGTTTCCAGGTCCGTGTTGAGACGCAATGGGAAGCCTTTCGCAGTCTCAAAACACTCCCCGACATCCCATGCCCCTAAAGTGGATCGGAAAACATTGCTCCAGTTGGGCACCCATGATGGCAGCTTGCGCTTCTTCTTTTCCTCCATTCCTTGCCCTTCACTCTCGATGTCGAGATTCCAATACCATCTGCTTTTAATAGTGTCCTCGCTTTCGGCTTGGTCAGTCGAATATTGCACACTGGAGAGGAGGGAAAGATTGCCGGAGGTCAGGATGACCTGGCGTGCGAATCTTGTCCAGAGCTCATGTGCATTGATGGTATAGTCTGGACGAAGGAACATCGATCCGTTTTCAGGATCATTGTCTGTAGTCGACATCCCAAGCAGCCCATAAATGCGGTCTCGTGGGTCCGTGGCCTCGAATTGTCGCGTCAATCTCAACAGCTGAACAAATGATAGTTGCGGTCGCGGAAGGTCGCTCGCATGTGACATTCGATAAATCAGATACGCGTTGTACACGCCGCCAATTTGTAGGCGTTCGCAAATGCCGTGATAGCTCGTCCGCAGGATAGCGGCTGCTAAACCAACCCATCGCCAATCAATTTCCACATTTGCCCATCGGACAACAGCAGCCTGGCCAACAACTGCTTCTTGGATGACCCACACGCGCCAGAACCAAGAACGTCCGAAGAGGTCGGCAATCGAAAGCCAGAACTGTGATTGACCAGCTGTCTCAGCTAACGAGTCGATGCCGAAATCGTGCGGTGGTTCTTCTTTCTCCTGCTCTGATGGCGGGTAGAACGACCTGTAAGACTTCTGGGACTTGGAGCGACGGATAGGGTAGGCGAACCTGACCCACTCCTTCATGGACTCTTGGTCTTCGAAATCTTGTGAAACGGGGGGATATGCTTCGAAGGAATTGTAAAATTCTCCCGCAGAAGATGACGATTCGATGGTATATTTGGCCCTGGAGCTCGGATCTGCTTCAGGGCCTTTCCAACGATTCACAATGTCGCAAAGGGCCCCAAACGCTCGCTGAGCTCGGATAGTCTCCAGAATTGGGGGAGGCTCAATGCGTTCCCCCTTCTTGCTGTCCCATCTATAACGTTCGTCGCGTTCGTTGATCCAGATAATCACCCTTTTAGCCTTCTTATAGATGGACCCCATCAAAGCCACTTGGTGCCCTCTTTCCGTGTGGTCGTCTTGATTGATACAAAGCGCGTCTACCCATAGGAACATGTCCTTGGTTGTATATCGAAGCTGTCGCAAGGCTCGGTCGAGGTTGGCGTTGATATGCCGCTCATGACCATTGCAGGTAATGGGGAAAGTCTCGTACGTACTGACATTGGTCTCCCTATCCCAATTCAACAGCTTAGGCTTTCCCCAAACGTACGAGAGAGCTTCATAGTCCGTGTCGAGGTGCTGCAGGCTCACATATCTGAATGAGCAGATGAGTGGATCTTCTTGCTGGCCTGGGTGGAGTTCAAGGATTCGAATCGTATCGCCATTGTGTAGAGCGTGGTATGGTACTTCCTTGCTATTGCTCAATTGAGTGAGCCATTCGCGAAGCTCCTCGGTTACAGTTGTCGCCTCTGCTTGGTTGCTGGGTGGATTTTCCTTTTCAGAAATAGGATGATGGGTGACGTGATCTTGCAGTTGACCAGAGACGCTGGCTATCGGGGGCCAGATTTCTCGTTTTCTCACCCAGGCTGGGGAGCCGTAGTATACACCTTCAAATTTTAGTACGCCTCAGCCTTGCGGAAACAGTACGTGGTCATACAATTAGTGTTTTTTGAGGTCAAGATGTATTCTGTTCCTCGGCGCCGACATTCTGCTTCTTTGAAGATTTCCTGCATTCTTTAGTAGTGCGAAAACGATTGTAATGTGTCGATGTGGTTTGAGAGGGGAGGGGCGAGGTCAAGAGGGATGGAAGAAAACAGCCGCCTGTTGCTCAGCCGCACTCGGCTCGTATTTGGCTGCGCCAGCCGGTCTGGAACCGTGCGGTTAGATGTGAAGAAGCAAAATCAATGCGAAACATGTGACGATACATAAGAGGATACCTCGCTTGTTGTTCATGGTTCAATAGTCGAGCGACCAGGCATCTGACCAATACCTGCATCAGCCCGCTAAGCAGAATTCGGTGAAGCGCTCTTTCCGTCTGATCAGTAAGCAGGATAGCCCTATTGAAGGCGATATGACTCTTGCTTGAATAAACCCACCCTTTTTCTCCCACATTATCCATAAAACACCCCGAAAAGTTCGCCATGGTTAATCCAACGCCTGGTCCGCTCCGTACAGCATATATACGAACCAGCACACACCATGAGAGGGATCTCGAGCAATTCTTTAACCAGCTTCGCGGCTGCGTCCGACAGCCACCGCCAGACCAACTGACCGAAGGCGGAGCTCGACATCGCTTTCTTCTAGGTGTGGCTAACCTGGAAGATAACCGTGTGCTGGACATGCTCATTGCTGAAATCGGAGCGCGCACACCCACAGAAGTCGACTACGCGAATCCCACGTGGTGCTTCAAATACGTCAGTCGCTTCGATATAGAGGTCCGTATATCTCGTCCCCAAGCAGCGACTGTAGCTGGTCAGAAGCTGCTCAAACGATGCGCAGACAACGGCATCGCGACGACCATCTGTGGAACAAGCGACGAGCAATGCGACAGCACCATGCTGATGGATTCCGACTACCTCATCGATCCGATGACTATGCGTTACTCCAATGTCTTCCACACCCACTTTTGGCAGCATTTCAGATCCGGTATACCAGAAGATAACATGCTCACCAACGAGAAGTACGACATGAAGCAGCACGACGCAAGTCGTTATAGATTAGCATATCGATATGCAGGATACTCCTGGAGGCAGAGCTCCGGAGGATACCGCGGGAATGGCGATAACTATCGGTGCGCAATGTGCGGTGGTAAATGCAAACGGAGTCAGTGCAGAGGTCAGGCGCCTGATGATCGTATAGAGGAGCGAAAGAGGAACGACGAGGTTCAAGATCAGTGGAGAGAAGAGAACTTGAGGCTACCGGAGCCTGGGACTGCCAAGTGGAAAGATTCGACCGCCGACGAGATGCTCTGGCGGTTTCAAACGTTAAGTCTGCCTGGGTACAAGAACGAGAAGCGGTGGCATAGTATCGACACTTTTAGTGGAGAGTAGGCGTGGAGTTCTGGTGACCATTATATCAAAGCCGAGCTCTTGAGAGTTGCGCATTCAGCTTCCGGAACGTCGTTTCGCCTGGCTTGTCATGGGAAAGCTCAGCCACGTGATACTCGTGAAGCGGCATTCGGCGGCGTTGGTCGGCTCTCTTGTGCCTGCAATTCATGAAGTGGCTGCATATACGAATCAAACCTCCTGCAATCGGCTATCCCGATGCTTCCAGAGCCATAAACTCGGATTATGCCATGACTGACGCATTCTTGGACCATTGATAATTTAGCTCTCTCGTCCTTAACTGGAGTTGCGACCATCGCGAGTTGTATGGAGGGCTGCGAGGGCCGAGTTGTAGCGGTCCCACTTAACATCTCTTCCTCTATTAAGGTAATGGTTTTCCTCTTGTCCTTGCCTATATATTTGAATTAGAATGTTAAAGGTAGCCTCATGCACATGATAATTAGAAGGCGCTATGTACCTATTTTAGCTATTAGAGCTAGAATTACGTCTTATTAGATCTTTAGAGCCTGCTAGAGACCTTTCGTCCCTTTCTAGTAGTTCTGCGTTAGTAGAAAGCACGACTTAGTCTCACAATTTAATACTGTTGGCACAAGCCTGTTGGTGGCCCGCTTATTTTTGTTGAACTCACGCCATTCATCTTCGTTAAAGGGAAGTTTGGCAAGTAAGAAGTGGGGAAGAATTAGAGGGCTCGCATGGTTATTACTCGCGCTACATGCACCAGCCCATTAAAATTATGCAACCTTCCTAACTTCTCTTTATTAGGTGCACCTTCGTGCCCTCTACATTCTACTCCGTCTTCGCTGATCACACATCTCGCACAGGGTCGTAAGGGCGAGGAGTGGCAGACTGATTAGTTGATGCCAGGCTCGTTCCCTCGCCATCTGCAGGTTGTTGTGCTACGCATATAAGTCAACAAAAGCACAAGCGCGAGGTAGCAAGCACTAATCATACCTGCCCATTTCCTAACGTCACGCACTACAAGTGACATCCGCCAGTGTAAAACGTCTTCGCTTACAATAGGGACGCCTTCATCTGCTAGCTTTACATTTACGCGAGCCTGGATTTTCAATCGCTCATCTGCCGGGACAGATGCCCATGTCGAATTTGGGTGCTCTTGGACAAGGCGCCTCGCCTCCTCCTTCGTCAAATGCTATTATACAGTTATTAGGCGAATTATATGCATGCTATGTTAAACGGCTCACATAAAAGCGGCCCCAGTGTATGAAACCATGGCCTGCTTCTGCTCGGGCTTCAACTGCGGTTGCGGATGTTTTAAGTGGCATCCTTGCACTTTGATGGGCATTCACGACGTTAGTTAAATGGTAAATGGTAAATGGATAGCTATGGTGTCTGGGGAAGTTGCGGTGGGACTTGGTGGCGTCTTTACCCCACCTCGTGTAGTTATGTAGTAACAAGATACGGTAAGATTGCCCAAGGCATATTCTATAAAGGTCGTCGAGTAGGTACAATAAATAATACTCTCCATAGTACGTCAGGTTTTACGCTTCTGTTTATCCCGTGAGCGGCGGCACCACCAGTGACAGGGCGCGGAGAACATGCCCCGATTCGATAGTTTGCCGCTCGCTAGCGCAATCCAACTCCACACACATTTCCAAATTACCAATCCGTAGCACCAGAAAAACCGTCGCTTTGACATGCATTTAACATATTATATAAACATAATAAGACCTCAATATTTCAATATCCAGTTGATTGTTATCTTGAGGATGCTGCTGCTGGCTTAGTAAGCATCGGTGGTTTAGTGGTAAAATTAGCCGTTGCCAAAACTTTCGGTTCCGAACCGGAAAAGCGACGTCGGCTAGCCCCGGGTTCGATTCCCGGCCGATGCAAAAAGCCTTTCTTTTTATCTTTTGGAGTTCGTTTTGGGTATCTAGGGTGTAGCAGTGATAGGAAAGGGTGGTTGTGAGGTTTGGTCACGAAAATGAGATTTTAGAGCTTAGACCCTATTTTTTAAGTTTTAAACTGCCTCAAGATGGTTTCCAGCTTACTTTAAACTTATAAGCAGCGTGACTTTTGTATTAGAAGCTGTGGTAGACCGTGACAAAAGTTTTTGGTTAGGAGAAATCTCATCATGTGCTTCTCTGCATTTATCAAAGAATAGAGTGTTAATATATCTTATAACTTTTTTATCACATAATTTGCATGTAGCTCTGTTATTTCCAAAAACAATATAGGTGGTAGAGGACGTGAAGCGAATAATAGGTCAGTGTTGGCGAAGGACTGAATAGCACTAATTTGGAACTTTCACTACTCGACGGAACACCATACGCCTTCGCCTCTATCCCTAAGGCTCTTTACAGCTTTAGAAGGGATATAGCATCTTTTAGATTGCAAAGCCGTTAACATTAAATGTTGTTTGGTGGTATTCAATATTGGCATGTCGCGCGTAGACTACAACGCCTCTTTCATTTTCTCCTAGCGAACAAACCCTCTCTTTACTGAGCCGTATTATTAGCACTTGTTTCATTTTAAAATCTCATACCTGAGAATTGCGACTCACTCTAGAGGCTCGGGATAGCGATCCGTAGCGGTTCGGTAAACTTTCTAAAAATGGTAAAGAGCAGAATGGCTGACCCACGGGTTTTTGCCAACATCTGCAAACGTGAAGTGTATGTAATACTTACATAACTAGAACTTGACTTCGCTTTTTGAGGCCGTCCCACCTCACTGCTCTCGTCTCAACACTCGTTGGACCAGATTCGATGCGTACAAGTCCAGAGAGCACTCACAACTACCGCCCGAAAGCCAAAAGCCGAACATCATGGGCGTCGAAAGCGCCTTGGAAAATGCCCCACTTAACGGTGACTCCAACGGCCACGCCGACGACGCGAGACACCTCATCGAAGTACGGCAGACGCCATTCGAAGGCCTCGGGGTCTTCGCAAAAGCACCGATTCCTCGCGGAACCCGTATCCTCTCCGAACCCCTCTTCCTCGCTCTCGATGGCGGTGAGAACCCCGCCGAGATCCTAAGCGCCTTCAGTAAGCTCAGCGAAGACGACAAAACAAAGTATCTCGAGCTCCACCCCTTTGCGCCGCCGATACGCAACGACCTCACAAAAAAGTACATGAAGAAGGGGTGGGGAGCCCTCGCGCAATGGGAGCGCGATGCAATCGGCGTGTACGATGCGAATAGCTTCCAAGTCGGAGTATACTTGCTCGCGAGTCGCATCAACCACTCGTGCATACCGAATGTGCACTACGAGCACAATCCCGCGATCCAGAGGGGCACGTTCCATGCTGTGAAGGATATAGCGGAAGGAGAGGAGCTATACATCTCGTATATAAATGGAGGGAGTCGGGTGAGGAGTTGGAGACAGCCTAAGCTGGATATGTGGGGTTTTGTGTGTCAATGTGCGGCTTGCGGAAATGATGCCGAGAGTAAGAAGAGGGAGGAGAGACGGAAGGAAATGTACGAGCTCGACCAGAAGTTGGCCAAACAGAGCGTGTATGGAACGGAGATGACGGCAGCTCAGGCATTGAAGACTGCGACGCGCTTGGCCAGTCTGCAGATAGCTGAAGGTGTTTTAAATCGTGAACTACGGACGTCGTATCATGATGCGGCGAGATATTGCCTAGAAATGGGGAACGCGAAGTTGGCGCTCCTTTGGGTGGAAAAGGAGGTCGCGCACGAGAAGATGTGCGTCGGAGAGGATCATCCTGTATATCAGGCTGTCTCGGCAAGGAGAGATTTGCTGAAAGATGTTGTTGCCGGGACGGTGACGTTGGATCGGTCGCTCACGGAATACTTTCACTGACATACCCCGCGGTCGGTGAGCTAGGCCGTTTGAAGCTAGTGGTACGATTCCAGGATGCATCTCAAGTGCCGTATAGTCTTCACGAGTCACGATTTTCTTTCCGTATTACCTTTCGATCATAATTTAGAAGCGATAGAAGTGAATAGAAAGGTCAGGATTCCCACCAGAAGGCACAGACGAGAACAGGGTTGGAAAACAAATGCCAAAAGTACTTTCAGTCTATACCTTCGAAGGCGTTGCAAGGGTGACAGACTATTTATACCGGTGTACCTCATAATTAAGCCAGGCGTGCGTAGCTATAGTAGCAGGGCGAAGGTGTCGGGCTTGGCTAACGTGGACGAGGGTAAAAGTATCACCGGAAATTATCTCAGCCAACGGAAGTCCTCGGATTGTTCGCTACCGAGGCGAATAATTTATGCGTCACAACATGCAACTCGTATGAGGTGGAGGGATGCATGGTAAGAGCGACGAGTATCTATGATGGGGTGCCCTTTCGATGAAGGTGAACGCCGGCGCTCGGGATAGCACCTCAAGAAATGCCATGATGTCCAAATCTAGCATCAGTAGCTCAGTCGAGCCATCTGAAAATTTGAATATTGACTATTGATTAAGAGAAACCAAAGGATATATCATTGAATTAATTTATACTGCCGAACCCTGCTCGTTCGTATGCATGCTCATGCAGGAGCACTGTCGCTCTTCTTCCAAGCTGGCACGAGTTGATTCGCTTTCCTTTCAACCACCATGCAAGACGTGGTGAGCACAACCACTCCGTATCCTAACCAGCACCCGACTGATCTTCATCCGAGTTAGCGATCATGCCCAGCATAACCTCAACGCCCTCCATCGTCACCGCCTTCTTCTCTTGCAAGGCGACGGACACCGCACAAGCAACCGCATTCTTGATCTGCCGTCCATTGATATCCACTTCAGCTAGCTGCTGCAAGTCACTGTCCTGAAGTTGAACGTCAACTGAAGCAGCCGAAGCACCAGCCAGGCAGTTCTGCCAAATCTCCAAGCGGGACGCGGCAGTAAGATCTGGGTAGTGCAACTTGAAGTGAATACGGCTTTCAAAGGCAGTATCAATAGTGCTCTTCCGGTTCGTAGTCAAGAGCAGTACGCCTTGGAAGTATTCGAGGCGGCGGAGAAAGATGGAGACTAGGGCGTTTCGCTGGAGACTGTGGATATCGCGCTCCTGGAGGAAGACGTCGGCTTCGTCGATAAGAAGCACACAGCCCCACAGTCGAGTGATTTCAAGCACCGTGTCTAGCTTGGCTTCCACGACATCAATATCGGTACCTAGCTCTCCAGCACTCAGCATGTACAGCGGGCGTTTGGTGACTTCGGCGACGACTTCGGCAGTCAATGTCTTGCCAACACCGGGGTTGCCACTTAACAGTCCCACAAGACCGCGACCCTTGCCACTCACCACATCGTCGAAGGTATCGTTGGCGTTTCTGTGACTCTTGACAAGTGTGTGGATAAGGGCGCGCCTCTTGGGTTCCAAAACGAGCTTCGAAAAGGCGTCCTCGTTCCAGACGATGGGGCTCGTGTTTGATACAGCGAGTAAGCACCATAGCTTTTGACGGAAGCTGAAGCCGGGAACTTTGTGATCGCAGAACAAGAAGTCCTCGTCAGTCATGGAAGAGGTGTCAACCTTTCGTACAACATCGTACATCAACAGGTCGGAGGCAGTGTTCTGTTGGTAGAATGTTACAGGATCGAGCATGATTCTTCCAGATACCTTGAGCCACAGTATTAGACTATATCTTCGTTCAGGAGCGGTTAGGAGTCCTTACATGTACCAGTATTGGTTTGTACCTCCCATTGATGATTATTCTTGTATTTTCCCCAATAGTCTGCCCTTTGTAATCACAAAAAGCCGCAGAACTGAGCTCAGTGAAGCGCTTGCCACGTTCAAGTAATCTCGCACTAATCTCATCTTGCTTTGCGTGCCGGCTGAACGGGAAGCACTTCAATTCCTGCACTTTCTTTGCACCCTCGAATTCTTCGATCTTGATCACATCCCCTAGCCATCCTAGAACTACTCCATCGTGTGATATCAATCGGCAGTCCATCATGAGCACCTTGGATCCGTCTTTCAGTTCTTTGTATTCAACCGACTCACAAATTAGCAGCTGGTCTTCTTGAAGCATGTTCGATCTGGTGTAGACAATTGTTTCGGGAGGAAACAATGTCCACAGCAGCTTGAATGTGATCTCGTCTTGCTCCGTGAGGGATTTCAAAGATGCTAGTGTGGAACCGAAATCTTCATCAAAGTACTGGAGTGCAGCACACAGCACACCCGCAAGTTCGCCATCCGGCTTGGCCTTGGCTGATTCTTCGTCAATCTTCTCTTTCAAACCGGTACGAGCATGAAACATGAGCTCAGGGGTGGCTACAGGAGGGGTCGAGTTGAGATTGTAGCCTCGAGCTTCCTCAAACATCTCCGACAGAGTTCGTTGAAGAATCGCCGAGGTGAGGTCGATCTCCGTTTTGGTGTGCTTGCCATCCTCGTTAATAATGCGACGTACCTTCAACACGGTTCTGGGGTTTTCGGCTTTACGCTGGGCATCGGAGGTCGGGAGGAATATAGTCTGTCGCTGACTTTTGCTGTACCTATGACCGTTTAGCTTTCTCATCTTGCCAAAGATAAGACAGACTTACACTTCATCGACCCTTTCGATGCGTTTGCTGGGTTTTTTCTTCTGTTCTGGGTTGCAGAACTCACAGTCATGTTCTTCAACGGGCTTCTTCTTGGCGAAGAACTGGAAGAATGGATTGGACGGTTTCTTGTCGTCGTGTTTATGATCGTGAACCGTGGGTTGATTGGGTTCTTTTGCAGCGTCGCTGGCGTGGCTTGAGGGAGGCATATTGAGAATGTTAGAGCCTACTGATTTTGCAGGTGTAAGGCGTTGCTTCGTATTTGAATGCCCTTGTTTGGAGTATTATCCTTAAGTGAGAGCACCTTTTATGCTGCGGTACATGCCTTATATATATGTACCATGGAGGCAGGTGGAAGATCTGAAACCGTGAATAATTACTGTTGTCCGTGCAGCGCATTGCTGAGCT